GTATCTCAAGTGAAAATACAGTAGTTGTTGAAGTTATCAACTTAAAAAATTCACCCGACATCTTAATTTATTACTTAGAATTTGTCTGTGCGATGAATGAATTCTTTGTTCAGTTTTATAACCTCCAGAAAGAGCTATGTATTTCTAACCATTAGTATTTGTCCTCAAATTACATTTGTTATATTGATTAAGAATGGGTTTTAAACCTAAACATTACATGATGGATGGCTATGAAAATTTAGTAATAAATAGTGTCCTTAGATTGTAAGGGGTAATCATTGGTTTGGAGACTCGCCCATTCTCCCTTCCTGCCAAACACTCCCTCCGCCAACCTCCTCACACCCAAGTGTCAGCTTAAACGTCACGGCCCTGACTTGCCAATTTCAGTGGTATCTCTCTTCTCTCCTTTATTCTCTGCTATTCTTCTTTATAGTTCTCAACACGATTCGTAGTAGTCCTATATATGTACATTGCGTGTTTCAAATATCTGCTTCACTTACCAAACGGTGGGCTCTGTGGACAGGGCTTCTGTGCCTTTGACCTACTGTTATGGAATGGCACAGATTAGGCTGCCAATAAATATATAGAGACTGATGAAACACATTTTCTCTGGATCATTAACATTTGGTGCAAAGTCAGTAAGATGCTATTTTGCGAAGAAAATCAGAGTGGAGATATTATTTTGTGTGAAATTCAGACAAGAGCTATTACTGATTTTATGATGAGTTCTACTTAAAAACCTGTTTGACTTATCTTCCTCGACAGCTTTTGGTTTAATTTCATCCAAAATTGGAGGCTTGGAGGCAATCGATGTCTATAGATATGTGGTGTTGTATTCTTTGCTTACTTTTCATTTTCAATGATAATTAAGGTACACTTATCAGATTTTCCACTTCTTTCCTAACATTTGTTTGTATGGCTATGATGAAAAGTTTTCATTCAGGGTCTGCTTTTTTTCTGCCTTTGCTGGCTCTCTGTGATGTCAGAGTGAAGGGCAGCACACCTCGTGGTGGAAGCTTTAACTATCGTGTTTGGAAGTTACGCTTCACAGCACGGAGACACTGCTCTGTCCAGATCAGTTACAAGGACCTAGTTTAAATGTTATCATTGTAGCTTAAGAATACCAGTGTTTTCTCCAAGTATGAGCCTCTGAAAGTCTTGCTAAGCCTGTTAAAATTCTTTAGAAAACTTTTAGGAGTTCCGTCCCATATACCTACACAGTATTTTGAAAAAAAAGATGATAAATGTCAGGACCACTAAGTATGCTATTCATAATGTAAATAAAGACAGTCATATGGAATAACTTCATTTGTTTCCAAAATAATTGATCTAGTTTTAAGGAGTAACATTGTATCTTAAAACCACACCAAAGTTACCTAACACGTATTCTCCCTTACTCAAATAATCTTAAAACCAGGAGGGATAGGCTTTGATCTATGGTTGGCTAACCAGTCATGGTCAAGGAAAAGCATTACCTGGATCTCTCGGGAGATGCAAGCGTGCTTGAGAAGTAGATATTCCAATGTGTAAACTGTGGGTTGAAAATAGGATAGAATGTTGAGGGTGTTTGTATAGTTACTGAGTGAAACAGTCAGAAGATAAGAGATGTGACCCACTTCAACCATTTGGTTATTTTCTTAGTTCATTTATGTGTATACCTTGCAGAAAGAATAAGAAACAGTTGGGTGGTCAGTGTCTGGTCAATGTATTTTTTATAGAATGCAGTTATTTTACTTTGTGGTTAATTAATGAGGGAAATTCTCGTGTTTTTGTTCCTTAGGCAACTTGAATCAAATCACTCAG